GGGGTGGGAACTGGGGGAAATCTGGGGGGTTTTGGGAGTATTTTGGTGTGTTTTGAGGGGTGTACAGGGCGGTTTGGGTTATGTTGGGGTGATTTGGGGGGTTACAGGTCTTTTGGGGATGTTTTGAGGAGTTTTGAGTCATTTTCGGTGGTTTAGAGGGGTGTTCAGGCGGTTTGTGTGTGATTTTGGGGGTTTTTAGGGTATTCTGAGGAGTTTTAGGGTGATTTTGGGGGTGTATAGGGGGGTTTGAGGTGATTTTGGGGTTATTTTAGGGTTATTTTGCCTCACCCAGAGTGTGCAGGGCATTCAGCTCCAGCTCCTGCATCTGGGGGGGCCCCCCCAGCGCCCCCAGTGTGACCTCGAGCACCAGGGGCAGCCACGGCCCCTCCCCGTTCAACAAACCGAGGCAACAATCCAATGCAATCCCATCTAAGAGTCCAATAGAACAATGCAATCATGCCAGACATTCCAATCCAATCCAACAGTCGGATGCAAACCCATCCAGCAGTCCAATCCAATGATGCAATGCAATCCTGCTCAACAGTCCAGGGCAATCCAACAATCCAACCCAATCCAGTCCAAAAATTGAATGCCATCCCATCCAACAATCCAATGCAACAATCCAATGCCATCTTGTCAAACAATATAACCCAATTTAAACCCAAACAAACAATCCAATGCAATCCCATCCAACAATGCAATTCAACAAACCAATACAGTCCAACCCACCTACGTAGTCCAATCCAACCCAAGACAACAATCCCATTCAATATTCCAATACAATCCAGCAAACCAAGAGGCAATAATTTAACTCAATACAATGCAATTCAATCCAATAGACCGACCATATAATCCAAGACAACAAACAACTCAACTTTTCTGGGACCAATTACCAGGATGCGGCTGCTATTCCTCTAAAGCTGCTCGTGGCACCTGCAAAATAGAAAGCTAAAGGCACGTGGTGAGATACTGCCCAAAACCACAGCCAGCCTGCACCCCTTGCCATCTCTCAATCCTTTACCTCAGTCGCTCGCCTGCCTTGCCTCTGCCGCTTTCACGTCTTCACGTTCAGGCTTGTTCAGAAATGTCCCTCCATCATCGCTGGCACACAGCTCGTCCCTCTGCCTCTGAGCAAGCAATTTCAAACAAGTCACCTGATCCTGAGGAAGAAACCCAAACCATGCAATAATCCAAGAAAAAAGTAATACAGTCCAATAATCTGAGACTCAATACTCCAATCCAATGCGGTACATTAATCAAAGAGCCAATAATTCAATACAATGCAATGCGAGGCAATAGGCGGCACCACAAGGGGCAGGTCAATAACGCAACGCAAGGGGCCCCAATGCAAAGCGACACGAGGGGCGGAAAAGCAATGCAAGGGGCAATAATCCAAGGCGATACATAAACCAATACGCAATGATCTGAGACGCGATAATCCAAGGCAATACGTAAAGCAACACACAATAACCTGAGACACAATAGTCCGAGGCAGTACACAAACCACGATGCAATAATCCCAGACGCGATAGTCCAAGGCGATACACAAACCAAGACACAATAATCTGAGACACAATAATCCAATACAATACACTAATCAAAGAGGTGCTAATCCAGTATAACACGTTAATCCAAGACACAACAAGACAATGCAATGGAATGCATAAGAGGCGGCAATAATTCAAAGCATGAAACAATAGTACATGAGGCAATAATACAAACGCAAACCAATACAATGCAAAAGGCAATAATACAATACAATACAAAGCAAACCAAGAAGTAGAAATAAAGGAAGCAGTAACACAACGCAATGCAAAGCAACGCAAAATGCAATAGTGCAACGCAATACAATACAATGCAATACAACAGGCGACTACACAAGAGTCAAGAATTCAATACAACACAACACATAGCAAGAGGCAATAATCCAATCCAGTCCAATCATCCAATAGGCAAAATTACAATACGATAAATCAAACCAAGAGACAATAATACAATGCAATAAAAAAAAACCAAGAGGCAATAATTCAAAGCAAGAGGCAATAATAAATGAGGCAATAACTCAATACAGTACAATCCACTGCAAAGTAAGAGGCAACAATCCAGTTCAACTATCCGACCCAAACACACACCTCACCTTTTCTGGGGCAAATTACCAGAATGTTGCTGCTACTCCTCCAAAGCTGCTGTGAAACCTGCAAAAATTCAAAGCAAAAGGCACACGCTGAGGTACTGCCCAAAATCACAGCTAACCCGCACCCCTTGCCATCTCTCAATCCCTTACCTCAGTCACTCAGCTGCCTTGCCCCTGTCACTTCACCATCGTCACATTCAAGCTTATCCAGAAACCGCAAAACCCAGACTGCAGTGAGCTGAAAACAAGAAACTGACTCAGCAGATGAATGCCAAGTGAAGATTTTATTTTCTTCCTCAGCTATTATAGCTACAGAGAAGGACCTGACTATGCAGCCAATCAGGATGTTTACATACAACAGCACTTTCCCATCCATCATTCCCATACTTTATGGCCAGCTGTTCCAAGACTGAGATATCCTGCCACACACCACACATACCATTCAACCAGTGTTCTGGTCGAGATAACCCAGGCACACAATGCTTTGTGTAGTTTTGAACTCCTACTTTTAGGCTGGTCCAAGGTCCTGTTATACTCAACAACAACAATTCAATCTTCCAAAGATTGCTTTTGTATAAATCCCAGCTACTCTTTGTGTTCTCTTAATAATGTTCTTATGGGAATGCCAGCTTCTGCAGAGCCTTAGTTTGCAGCCTGTTGATGCTTCTCCGCAACAGACGACAAGGGAAAGTCACAACTTTGCTCGCTATGCGACACCTGAAAATTAACCAATACTGCATCCCACCAGTCACGGCTCACCTTGCTCAAGCCGCCTCCTGCACCCATATCCCGTTTCACTGGCCGCTTTGAGCCTGCAAAGTAAAAAAGATCATCCAAAACCAAGCAGTTGATCATAAAGCGACCAGTCTCATCTTCCCTTCAAAGACACAGGCCGACCCACATTCTCAGGGTGCTCAGCTCCCTGCCCCTCCATCGCTGCTGGCACACAGCTCATCCTACTGCCTCTGAAAAACCAACCTCAAAACAAGGCACCTAGATCCTGAGGAAAAAACCCAATCCATGCAAGAATTCAAGAAGAAATAATTCAGTCCAATAATCTGAGACTCAATACTGCAATCAAATCCAGTAGATTAATCAAAGAGGCAATAATTCAATGCAGTGCAATGCAAGAGGAAATAACGCAACACTAAAGGCAATAATACCATGCAAGACAAAACAAAGCAAGAGACAATAATACAAGCAGAAATAATCCAAATGTCCAATAATCCAATCCAGTCCAGACGACCGAGAGGCAATAATACAATACGATACACTAACCAAGGCGCGATAATTCAGTACAACACACTAATCCAAGAGGTGCTAGTTCAATATAACACATTAATCCAAGGTGCCGTAAGACAATGCAATGGAATGCAAAATAGCAGGCAATAATTCAAGAAACAACAATAAATGAGGCAATAATACGACGCAAAGCAAGAGCAAATAACTCAATGCAAAAGGCAGTACTAAAAAACAATACAATACAAAGCAAAGCAAGAAGCGATAATACAACGCCATACAAATGACAGCGAGAGACAATAATACAATAGGCAATAACGCAACGCAATACAACAGGCAATTATACAAGTGTCAAGAAATCAGGACAACACAACACATACCAAGAGGCAATAATCCAATCCAGTCCAATCATCCAAGAGGCAATAATACAATACATTAGATTAATCCAATAGACAATAATACAATGCAATAAAATGCCAAACAAGAGGCAATAATAAATGAGGCAATAATTTAATGCAATCCAGTCCATTGCAAAGCCAGTCCCAACAATCCAACTCAACAAACACCTCACCTTTTCTGGGACCAATTGAAAGATGGCAAGGGGTGCAGGCTGCCTGTGGTTTTGGCCAGGATCTCAGCATGTGCCTTTTGCTTTTTATTTTGCAGATGCTGCATGCAGCTTTGGAGGAGTAGCAGCCACATCCTGGTAATTGGTCCAGAGAGATCTCCCGAGCACCCCCAGGGCTGGGGAACATCCTGAGCATCCCCAGGGCTGCAGGGCACCCCCAGGGCTGTGCTCACCTGGGGTGCCTGAAGGACTGGGGTTCGCCGACACTGACTGCCCTCTCCCCTCAGTCAGGGGACAGGGCACAGGCAGGACAGATGGACACACGGCACTCGGGCAGCACGTGGGGAGCGGGTGCCAGGCTTGGCCGGGAGGTTTGACGCTGGGGGTTCAGAAACAGAGCAGAGAGGGGTCAGGTCGTGGTGTTTACAGATGTGGGGGTACAGCGGGGCTGAGGGGCCATGTGTGGGGTAGGGAAGGGGAGAGAAGCTGCTTCTGGTGTCCTTCCCCTCTCCCGGGCAGCCAGGAGCAAGGTGACCACTCCAAGGGGTGAGCCAGTGAGCGGGAGGCTGCAGCGTGGGCAAGAGGCACTATCTGTCCGTCCGTCCCTCTGTCCGCTCATCTGTCCATCACCAGGGCAGGCTGTTCCCTTCCCAGTCGAGGAAGGCTCCGGAGAGGCTGGCCAGCACGGTCAGGATGCCTCGCATGCTGTGCTCCACCCTCAGCAGTGCCTGCAGGAGAGGACAAGGCGCAGCGTCACTGCGTGGGCTGTGACCGGCACAGAGAGCAGCCGGGCTCGGGCAGACCGAGGGTGGGAGCCCTGGGGAGCAGGACCCAGCGTGCTCATGGAGGCGTTTTTTTGCCCCCCCCCCCCCGTTCTCTGTGCTGGGTGGGGGGACAGGGCTGGCTCTCCCCTGCACTTCGCATCTTGCTGCCTGCTCCCTGCCTGCTCTGTCCCAGGAGATGGTCTTGTCAGTACCACACAACCTCCCCTGCCCCAAGTGCCCCTGCCCTCCCCAAGAGTTGGGGGTCCAACATGGGTCCTGCTGACCCTCCCCTGCACAACCCAGTACCTTCTCAGTCCCCATGTCAGTCTTCACCTAGCCAGGATGGATGGCCATGCACAAGATGCCCTTGTCCTGGAGCTCTGAAGCCATGCACCTCGTTACCATGTTCTGGGCAGCCTGGAAGAGGTATCATCATAACAGCACAACTCAGGGTGTGAGTGGGTAGGAGGGGGGACATATCCCACCCAGAAAATGGCTGTGGAGGTGGGAAATGGGACCTGGCCCTGGGGTAGAGCATCAGCACAACTCGCTTGAAAGGCTCAGTCCCAGGTGTTGCTGTCTTGGTCTCCATGTCTATGCTTGGGAGAACCAAGCAGGGGGTGGGTGGCCTGGGCCAGGTGGGTGCCCCCATGGGCTCCCCTCCATGGGCACAGTGCTCAGCAGAGCATCCTCAGCACCTCCCCAGCCACCTCACCTTGCTGGCACAGTACGGGTACATGGGGGCCTCTGACACCCCGAGGTACAGCCCAATGGAGCCCAGTTTGGCGGAGACGTTGATGATTGCGGCCCTGCTGCAGCTCAGCCCCTTCTTCCCTGTACCCTTCACTGCCTTCTCCAGGAGCGGCAGAAACTCCTGGCACAAAGACACCAACGCTGGGTTAATACATGACAAGCAGGGGACCCCTCTGCAGACCCTTGGTCCTGGTCTTGCCCACCCAGCTGAGGGCACATCTCCCCAAGCAAGAGAAACCCAAAAGGTCCACACGTACCTTGACAACCTGGAGCGGCCCTACCACGTTGGTGGCAAACACAGAGAGCATGTCCTGCGAGTCCAGGGAGTGCAGAGTGGCGTGCGAGCTGACGCCCGCATTGTTGATGAGCAGGTTCAAGCCCTGGTCCTGCAGATAAGACCCCACAGCCCGCACGGCCCCTCAGATGCTGGGCAAGTTCGCTGTGTCTGCCAAGGTAAAAAGCAAAGTGGAGGAGAGCTCCCATACTGGAAAGTGTGATGTGACTGGAATGGCTCTCCTTAAACCAGCATCATCTAGAAAGAAAGGACCAGGTTTAGCAGGTCAGGGTGTTAAGCACATCAAAATGAGCAGCAGTTTGTCTTCAGTTCTTGGTTTCACAGCTTTAGGTTAATAAAACCTCAATTCAGCTCTTTTCTGGTCAACTTGAGGTGGCTGGTAAGAACTTAAAGAACTTATCTCTATTTGCTGTCTATACTCAAGGAATTTATGATTGCACAAGGGATGCTCCGTCCTTGCACACTGAGGCTCCCAGTCTTATTTTCAGTTACAATTAAGTTTAAGTTACATTGTAAGGAGACCCCATCTTTGGGGAAACAACCTAACTATGCTCTTCAAGTCCTCCTGTAGTCCCCAGCAGCTATAGGAGCTGTTAACATAGAGGAGACACATTCATTTTATTGTTGAATTACATGAAGATCTTTCCTGGTTGATATCTGTTCTGACTGATCATTTAGAGTTATCTTTGCCTTTTTATACTATTTGTGCCTAAATTGATCTTCCACAGCACAACTTCCCATAGCTTTACAGCTGTTTATATGCAAAAATCCTTCCTTTTTTCTTTTCATTTCCTTTTGTGTAGATTTTTTATTGCTTCATATTGTTGCCAATGAGGATTTGGAACCGAGCTGAGTACAAGTAATAGGATTTACAAAGAATATAACCTGCAGTACTTCTGTGCAGGCTCTGAGTCTCAACTTCCTCATCCCTATGGATGCTCCGGCCAAGTTGTTGGGACAGCCCCTCTCAAGCAACCAGAAACAACTGAAGTTGTGCTAATGGGGGTAAGCATTCCCAGTGCCCTTTTCTCCCCCTCAATATTGGTATCTTCTGGAAAATCTGCTGTGCTTTAATTGCAGGATTTCTTGGCTAAAGCAATAGGAGTGGTATTTTTTGTGTTCAGCTTTTGGGTTTGCCTGTCAGGATGTGCATCCCCTACCAGGTGCTCATCCCACTGAAGTGGGCGGTGCTGATTTCAAAGGGATCATGTAACCACCTTCAGCATCTGAAATGGGCTGGTTAGGCCAACATTAAACTTTATATATCACCTTTTAACACCCAAAGTACACCACTGAGCCCTTAGGAGCGCGCCTTTGCTCCCTGCACATTTTTGCTAATCTGATGAACCTGCTGGGGAGGGGCTGGAAGAGCTAGGACTACTTTTTGCAACACTTTGGCCCCTGAGCTGTGTTTCTGTTCTCACGCTTAGACAAGACTGACTTAGCAAAGGTCTGCAGGGATGAAGGCTCCCTTCTTGGAGTATTTTATACACCCCCAAGCAGCACAGCAATCCCTTTTCCTGGCATTTTTAACTTCTTGGTGTCCTTATGGAGATAAGCAAGTATTTGAGTGGCCTGGGACTTGGTATCACCTTGCCTTGTGCAGCACGGACCATCATAGAGGTGTAATGAAAATATCTGGGGGGATTTGATGAGATAATCTGCTGTGAGGCCACTGTATGTGAGAGGATGGAGCCTTGGGATTCGATAGCACATGCATGGACATATCGCAGGGTGCTTTTTAGTGGCTTTGGATAATGATTGAGCGAAGTTCAAGGCTCCACCACCTATGAGAGACCTTTCAGTTGCTCTGGTGAATGATTAACTGCTCTGTTTGGACGAGCTGAGCCCTGGCTCCAAAGCGCCGGGTGTGTGGGACCAGCACCTTTCAGCCAAATGTGCTGAAGGAACAAACTCATCTCCTTGGAAGAAAGAAGAGGATAAGGAAGAGAAAGAAAGAAAGAGAGAGGGGAGGAAAGGAAGTGACAGATTAATTTCTGTCACTGGAGTTAATTTCTGACTTTCTGGCTGAACAGTGCATTCCCATTGCTGGTTTGAAGCCAACTTTTCCTTAAGGTGAAGAAAGACAGCTTGAAGCAGCTTCACTTTATTTTTTAAAAATACTTTTTTGCCGTTCTGTTCTTCATAGCTTTTTGGCTTATTTTGGGATGTGTGTGTTTTAGTAAAGGTTGTTTATTTAGTGGTCAGCATCTTGAGATGTCCCTTTTTTGTTGGCCTTGCTTTGTTGAGCAAGGTAAGCGTGCTCTTCCCATCACATACTGCCAGCTGGGGCTCACAGGTGATTTTGGAGATGCCATTTTTCATCACTGAGAAGGTGTTCTACTTTGATAATCTATTTAATAGTAAGAGAGAGATTTACTGCTGCTTTTTAGTAAAGCCTGACTTCAGAAATGCCGCCTTTGCTACAAAATGCTAAAAATTTACTTGAACTTTTCAGGTGTTTTTAAACAAATAAGAGACTAATATGGACTTTGCATTGCCTTGATTCGGTTTTTTTATCATAGAATTGTTATGGTTGGAAAAGACCTTTAAGATCATCAAGTCCAAGCGTTAACTACCTCTACCATGCCCACTTCTAAACCATGTCCCTGAGCACCGTATCTCAACGGCTTTTAAACACATCCAATGATGGCGATTGCACAGCTTCCCTGGGCAGCCTGTGCCAGGCTCTGATAACCCTTTCAGTGTAGAGGTTCTACCTAATGTCTAATGTACACCTCTCTTGAAGTATCTTGATGCCATTTCCTCTTGTCCTATCAGTTGTAACTTGTCAGAAGAGACTCACAGCCACCTCTCTACAACCTCCTTTTTATTATTGGCTCTAAGGAAATACTCTGAAGTATTTAGAAGCTGTGGCTGCTTCCCACCTCACTTATTACAGTGATGTCAATTCTAATGCAAACACTTCCCCAGAACGCTTCTTTTGGGTTTGGAGGGGTTTTTTTTAGCCAACTTTTCTTAAAAAAAAAGGTGTCTGTGCGCAGCCCCTTCTCTTTCAGACAGAGCTGCCTGCCTCCTCAAGACACCTCTGCAGGAAACAACATTCCTCAGCCTGGTGCTCCTTTTCACCCATTTTTCACCCTAACGCTGCCCTCCTCAGCGAGCCCCCATCGCTGCCCTGCACCCTGGGAGCTTCCTGCCTGCGAACACCCCAACTTCAGCAACACCAAAGCTGTCCTGGATGCTCTCCCTTTTCTCCTCCAGATCTCTATGCTTTCCAGGTCCATTTGCCACCTTCTCCTGCTCCCCAGCGCTGCTGACAAATGCCACAAAATCTGGCCCGCCTCCACGGGAGCAAGGCAAGGATGAAAGGTCATCACCTCAGTCCAGGCTGTGGGCATCCCGAACTGGAGCACACCTCTGGTTCTGGGATACCAACACCCCCACAGGGCCAGATTTCCCATAGACATCCTTTAGCCTATTTCTTTTCTCCCTTTTTCACCTGGGAAATGCCGACAGTGGCCACCTCCAAGCAGCCCCCAAACCAATCCCTCCTACTTAGGAACCATCTGGTAACTTTGCTTGCTGGGGCCTGCCTTGCTTCACTTTGCAAACCTGCATATCCCAGTCCCAAACTGGGGCGCTGTATTTAGCATCTTTGGGAGCAGAGGTCATGCCTTTCCCATGAAACGTGCTCCACAGAGGTGTCCAGACACACCTTTGCCTGCCTCCGAAGCCAGTTTGACTGCTTCCAGCCAGGAGACAGCTCTGCTTGGAGGAGGAAGCCTGCCCAAACGTACGCCCATCCCTCCCTGCCTGACAGGGCTGGAGCTGCCCAGCTGCCAGCATTAAGTCAGGCTGCCGAAAAGAGCTGCCCCCAGTCCTGTCCCCAAAGTGAGTGGAGGGCTATAAGCAGTGCTGAGTGCAAGGAGGGAGATTGCTCCATACCTAGCTGGACCAGTTTGATGCTGGGGTGCTGGGCAGCTAATTCTTGCAAGACCTGGAAACGAAGTGATGGAGCAAAAGGGAGGAGGTTAGAAGTCATCAGCGGCATGGCCAGGCCTCCCACCCCTGCTCCCAGGTCGCCCCAGCTGGAGCTGGGATAGCATGGCTTTGCTTTTGCTGGGCAAGGTGTGAGGGCAGTTCCCAGCAGACAGGGCACAGTGGCATTCCCATGGTTGGCAGGAGAAGGGGTCCCGGTGGGCTCAGGCACTGCACTCCATCCTGGGTGATCCCAGCATGGAGAAGGGGTTGGCCAGCCATCAGCACGGCCAAGAGCGAGCACCAAGGGCATAGGCACCACGTCTGCCCCTCCGGCCCCATCCCATCCATCTGGGCCAGCCACAGCCATAACCATGAGGCTGGGGGGTTATAAGACCCCGCTGGAGCCCTCCTGCCCCCACTGCCAGCCCACTCACCCAGGGCTGGATCTGGCAGCGAGAGGGGACCATGAATTCCCTTCTTCCGCCGGGCTCAGAGCCATCCCCTGTGCCCACAATGACCTTCCCTCTCGGACCCTTGGGGTCTCGGCAGGTGGCAAAGATGTGCTGGGGGGGGAGGGGGGGGGCTGGTGGCGAGGCGGCCCACCAGCACCAC